GATTGTGTTCCCTACTATAAGATTTGGCATACAGAGAAGAGCAATGGCAGAGCTCTTCAAAAATGCTGGTGTCCCCTGAAAAATCTGTACCTCCAGATTATTAGTGAAGCATGAATTTTATGGACCCACTTCCCAGCCAGTATAGAGGGTTAGATTTTACCCGGCAAATCTACTGTACCATTTATATTTCTCATCAACAGTAAACCAGGGAACAGCAAGCATCTCCAGCTTATTCACAGTGGGCCAATTTTTGATCCATTCCTCAGCCAACCAACCCACCAACCAATCAACCAAACTATTAGCACTTTTTTTTTTTAACTCCACAAGCTATGACATTAAATTCAGAATCTCTACTTAATGGTTCCATATCATGAAACTCATGTTTCAGTCTGAGCCAGGCTTATGTTTCTTCTACCATCTTCCTATACTTTAAAAATCCTTCCCCATACTTGTTCCTCAGGCCTCTGTTTCTAAGAATTAGAAAACTCAAGAAGTTCTTTGAAAGTACAGTGGAACTCTTCCATGGGTCACTTTGCAAACCTCACCTTGAGAAGCCTTCTGATACTTGAGCTTGGTTGTAGGTCTAGAGGCAAAAGTCAGGGGTGAGGGTAGGTCCTGAGGAGTGTTAGCACTGTCTTACTTGGTAGCTGCACCAGGGATGGCCATTACCATTTCCACAGGCAACACAGGACTGGTTTTCTCAGGTAGGAAGAGAGATCTACACCACAAGGAGTGGGGGTGAGTGTGCCTCTAGTACTGAGGATGGGGAAGTCTCTTCTCTGGCAAAATACTATCAACGGAATTTAGGAGTTCAGTGTCTCCAGCCAGTTCAGATTCCTCCCAAACATCTCCATTCCAGTTAATGGGGATCTCAATGCTTTCACCTTCACTTTAGATACCCTGTGAAAACAAGCATTAAACTTGCTCTGTAAATCAGCCAATCAAATTATAAGCACTTGTGTTGGTGTTCAGCAATTTCAGCCCTGCAGCCACAAAAGAGATATTCCTTCAGGAAACACTTAGAAACTTTAGATTCTTTATATGTGTCTGGAGCTGGGAACCTGAGTATCTGAGCTTTATTAATTTGTCTTTGTAGTTAGAATTCTTTGTTTATGCATATCTAGAGTTCATAATTCCCTTTATTAGTTTGCCCAGAACTAAGAGAAATCAGCTAGCATCATTATATTTCCTCCTCTTCAAAAATATTTAAAAGAGTTCCAGGAGAACATGGCAGACAAATAACAGCAGCCACGGAGGCTCTCTGAGATTACCAGTTTAGAATCCAGGAGCGGTGCCATGTAAGGAGTCCTATGTGAGGGGAGAGGTACCCTGCCGACCCAGGAATGAACTAAGCTGAGAGAAACCAACTGGAAATGCAATCTTCATGCTATAACAGGAACAGATAAAATCTCAGTACAGAAGCTGGATCCTGTGCCATTGGAAGCTGCGATTTGAATTTCCTGCTGCAGTTACTGCGTCCTAATCAACACAGTAGGGAGAGAGACGCGCGAAAGCTCTGAGAGCTGGAATCAGCGAATGAAACGGCATTGAGAGCGGGACTGGCAGGGAGCCCTGCATCGACCTGCGGTGAGTGAGAGAAATGGGGATCCCTTCATAGACTAGGAGGCTCCAACAGAGGACATTCTGGGAATGAGCAGACTAGCCAGAACAGGGCCCTGCAGTGACTTAAATTGCATATTCCCCTCTCAAGCAGGAGTGGTGGGGAGTGCTTGGCTTGGTGATGCCACGGACTAAGATCCAGTAGGCTAGCCCAAATCAGTTCCCTGCACCTGGCAGTGCACCCTAGCAGTGAAGCATTCAGTAGGTTGACCTGGAGGGGCGGGCCCAGCAGAGGCTGCCCAGGTCTGTGTCTCCCTAGTAGACTGCAGTGGGTGGGAACACCTAGCTGGTGGTTTCAAACAAACTATAACAGACAAAGAGAAAAAAAAAAAAACTGGGCTTCCTACATATGCTTGTATGGAAAGAACAAAAAGTATGGGAAAAGGGAGCAACAAGAAAGGGTCCTCAGTCCTCAATCCTGAGAACACTGATGCAGGAAAAGTAAATGCAAAAGAGAATGAAGACAGAAAACATGCAATATCAAACAGGCACCTATAGACGTAAAGCGGTATCTCCGGAGCCTCATAGACGAGTTCAAAAATGAAGTATTTAATGAAATACAGCAAGAAATAAGTAGAATAGTTAGAGAAATGCTAAGCACCACCCAAGAAAAAACAGATGGTGGAACAGAAAACAGAAAAAAGGGAGAATTGTTTGATGGAGAAAATAGAGAAAACAGAATACGTGAAGCAGGTTCAAAGAGATTACCAGGAAACTAAAAACTCTATTGAAAGCTGGTGTAACAGCTTGAAAGAAACTAAGGATAGATTATCAGAATTGGAGGACAGATTTGTAAGGTGGGAGCAAGAAATGAAAAACTTCTTAAAAATAACAAGAAAACAAACATCAATAATACAAAGACTAGAAGATGATAAGAGGATCTATAACTTAAGAATTAAGAACATAAAAGAAGAAGTAGGGACTCAAACAAATGAACTACAAAAGCTATTCACAGAAATAATCCAGGAGAATTTCCCTAATTTAGCAAAAGGTAAAGATACTCAGATGTATGAGGCATACAGGACCCCAGCCACCTACAACCCAAACAGAGCTACACCCAGACATATAATAATCAAAAGTCCAGAAATCCAATATAAGAACAGAATATTAAAAGCCATCAGAGACAAGAAACAGATCACTTACAAGGGAACACCCATCAGAATTACAGCAGATTTCTCGGCACAAACCATCAAATCACAAAGAGCTTGGGGGGAAATAATTCAAGCTTTGAAAGATAATAACCTCCAGGCAAGACTGATATGTCCTGCACAACTGTCCCTAGAAATTGATGGAAAAACAAGGTGCTTCCAGGATAAAGAGGAACTAGGGGAATTTGCAACCACCAATTCAACTCTACAGAGATTACTGCAGGATATTCTAAAAATGAAAAATACCAAGATTCCAGAAACAGTGGCAGAGCAGCCACAATGAATGGAGCAGAAAGCAAAATGAAGAGGACAAACTGACAGCTAATGATAGAAAAAGAGTTCAACAGAAATGAGGCAAAGAAGGTTGGATGGTAGGAACAGCCATTTTGGAGAAAACAAGAGATCATAATAGGTAGTGCTGATTCAATATCCTCTTGTTTTGAAGTCTCATCAAGCTTTTATTCTTCTGTCTCCATTGGTTTTAACGTGTTGCATCTTATTGGATTTTATTATATGTGATAATATAAACAAAAATTTTTATAGATAAGGAGATTATACAGAAACTATTGTTCATTTTCTGTTAGTTGATTCTAAATACCCTGTAATACTGTCATTCTCTTGAACAGTTTTACATTGTCTTGATATGTTTGATGCTACAGTATACGAAGTTATACCCAAAGATTTTAAGGGAAGAGACACTATGGTAACTACTATTATGTCGAGATTATCTTGTGGTGAAACACTATTTTGCTTAAATGGCTATGTTTTGACCTGCGCTGTTTTGTTGTTATGCCCTCTTTTTTATCTCAATCTCCTTTTTATTATCTACTTTTTCATTTTTATCCTTTTAATTAAGGGAAAAATAAATAAATAGCAAGATATAGTAAACCACTTTGATTTCCTATCAATTTGATTTGAAACTCTGTATTGCTCTCACCATCTTGTTTTGACTGATTTTCCTCTATTCTGTTATGTTTGATAGTACCAAGCTTGAAAGTATAGGCAACAACTATGAAGACAATAAGATTCATTGTGATGCCCATTCTGGCTGACTATTATCTTCTTTTGAAGTCCTCTAATGTCTCCAATGTTTTGGTTTTATTGGTCTTATTCTTTACTGTTTTGTTCAATTTCATTATAACTGATGATATAGGCAATTCTTTTTAAGATAACAAGAGGCATTATGGTAACCATTGTTGATCACCTTGTATTTTGTTTTTACATGATGTATTATGTCCATCCTTTTGATTTGACTGACTCTGTCCTGGTATGTCACATTTGGTTCTACTTTCTTAAAAAAAAAAAAAAAGTAATAAAAACTGTGGGAGTAATAAAACCCAAAATGTGTAATTGTCATTGTACAAAAGAAAGGAAAAGAAAGTTCTCTAAAAGTTATAACTGCATATATATTTAAGTGTGTAAGATAGATAACCATATTACTGAGTTTTGTTAGATCATTGAACAAAACTGTTTGCAGTCTGTTTGAAAGTCCCCTCTATATGCTTTAATTTTGTAACTTCAACAACTATTTCTAAGATGACAATATGTAATTAACTAGTGATTTCCTACTGTTTATTTTTTCTGAAAATCTGTATAACTTGTACCCTTTTTCTGTTTTTCTTTTTTCTCCTTAAATAAAATTTTTAAAAAATATTCAAAAGTATTAAATGTAGAGTTTCTATGGTTCTTGTGTCTCACACATGATGAATTAACATCATCAAATGAATCTATATTACGTGTTCCTTTTATCAGGTTATACCATGGATTATCACGGCTCTGATATTATTTGAGTGAAACCAAGGCTACTTTAGGTCTCTTCAAATTGGAGAGCCAACTCCAGGAATCACTAAACCTATTAGAGAAATTCACTTTACATTTCTGTTTTAGGATCACTCTCAGTACCAAAATTTGTATTTGTTAGTATTTTCTAGAGGAACAGATTCAATACAAAATAAATGAATAATTGTACAAGGCATGTAGCAGGTTCATAGGATCAGAATTGGAAGAGTCACATGTTTTCTGCCAGTTACAGAAGGGAGAATTTAAAAAGTCCGTCTGCATACTGGATAGCTAGAGGATACAAATTTGAAGGTTGTAGAAACACTGGTGAGAATCTCTGCAGAAATCTAAAAAGCCTGTGTTGGAAGTCTGAAGAGTCTGTGCTAGAAGTCTGAAGTTTTGAAATGGAGACCACCATCCAAGCAGTGATAAAGACGAGGAGGAAGGAAACACTTGTGCATTCTTTCTCTTTTTATTCTGGCCAAGCCACAAGCTTAAAAGTTGGTGTCACCCACATTCGGGGTGGATCTCGTCTACCCGTCACTCATTCACACAGATACACAGAATTACTAACCCACAAGGTGGTTTTTACTCGTCAAGTTGACAAATTATAATTAAGAATATCGGAGGGGATGATATCAGGCCAAGACTCACAAATTTCACTTCCCAGATAAACTGGACATGAGTCAAATTGTGTCACTTATACAGAGAGGAGGCTTATGGAGGATCTTCTAGAGCTTCTGGGATGTTTGTGCCATTGATACCAAGAATTGGGAGAGCCCATGTGTTGCTGTGCACAAGCTTTTCCATTGCTGGGACACAATGCCTAATACCCACAATTTAAATGAGAAAGGCTCGCTTGTGCTGAGGGCTTCATGGGCTTCAGTCTGGGCTCAGCCGGTTCCAAGACAGGCCATGAAGGACAGGCATGAGGAGTAAAGCTGTTAGCTCATGGGGTGCAAAGATGCTTACTTCATGACAGAGGAGAGGAACAGTACCAGAGAAAAAGGGACCTGGAACAATACACAGTACCCCAGGTCATACTGCCATGACCCACCCAGACAATCCAAAAGTGTGCTTTGTAATTCTACTAGGCATTTCTTGTTCCAAATCAAGCTGACATGTCATGTCTCCTTTTAATCTGGTATCATCTACCATCTCTCAGGCCCAGAAAGAAAACATTTTCTTTTCCCTTCCTGTCTCCTGTATCAAAGCTCTTTTCTCAGGTTCTACGAGTTTAAAGAAGGTTGCCTGAAGGAATGTCTTTTAAAATTCAAGACAGAGCCAGGTTCCACGAGTTCCAAGTCCCGGAGGGCTTCCAGTAGCACCTCCCGTGCAGCACCAATAAAGGAATTTTCCAGGAAGGCAGGAAGGCCTCCTACACCATCCCGAAGGGTGTACAGGGGCACCCGTACCAGGCCCAGCACCTGTGAAAACACAGTCAGGATACAATTTTCTTTCTAGCAAGATCTTTCAAGAGCAAAGGGCTTACTGCCTTACACCCCAGCAAAACTATCCCAGAGGTCAAACCTCATCAGGGCTAACAGGCCCAACCTGTGCAGTTGGATGTCTCAGGACATGCTTTCCAGCTCCATAAATACTGTGTCCACATCACTCCCTAAAACCTGTTGGGGCCTCTGCCTCCAGGATACAAGAAAGATCCTAGACTTCTGATTCTGAAATATGGAGTTCATACCAGGCATATCAGCATCACTGGTGATCCCATGAAAATGGAAACTCAGTTCTTCCTCCCATCCTGCTCTCCTATCAGTGAATGTGAATGGGGTATGGAAACCTTACTTTAGCATAAATGCTACCAAAGAGAGCAGAATAATAGTTGTTTTATAATTTTTTCCCTCACCAATGATTCTGATACATGCCAAAGTTTGGGAACCACTGCCACATCCAATCTGTCTTTCTACTTCCTCTAGCCTTAGTATTGGGGCTATATTTTCTACTTAAGAGTAATAAATATCCAAAATTAAGAGCACAGGCTGTCATGCCTGGCCTCTATGACATTACCAATAGGGAAGAGTAGAGAGTTGAGGGTGGGTGTATTATAGACAGGATGCTGAGGCCAGTAGAGGGAAGATGAGGGCTTCCCAGGGAGAACTGATGACCCACGCCCCAGCTCCTCCTGAAACTGGGGAAGACTGCAAGATCAGGGGTGCTACAACTTCCTCCTAGGGAATCTAGCTGGGGAGGGGGTGCTGGAGAGGGAATCCAAGGGGGAAAGAGGAAGCCTGGATGTGGGGTGGCTTCCAGGCTGGCCCCACCTCCAGCCCATGGTCCTTGGCTTTTGGTGCTCCAGCTTCCACAGCCTCCAGCTGCTCCAGTGTCAGTCGCTTGGCATAGAAGTGCGCCACAACGTGCGTTGTGTCCTCTGCATGTGAGTTGCGGTATTCTGTGCGCTCCACGCTGAAGGCGGAGGCCGCCTCGCCCAGCTTCGTCAGCAGCTCTCGGTTCAGTCCGTCCTCCAGGGTACGCTTCTGCGAGTTCACGAAGCCGCCTGGGAAGCCCAGGCGTCCATCGAAGCGCATCTCCATCTGCGGGGGAGGAAGAGGGAGTTGGCTGGGTGCCCAGGCAGTGCGACCCAGGATGGGTGCGCGGTCCAGGGTGGGGAGTACCGAGGGGTGCGCCCTCTGCTCACCAGCACTGCGTACCGCAGTGGGATGCGGCCGAAAAGCATCCGCGGGTCAGGCGCGTAGAGTATGGCAAAACACATGTGCCTCCACTCGGACCCTAAAGCTAGGGCTTCGGTGAGCTCTATTTTACGCGACCCTGCCATGGCCTAAGGTTTTCTGTGGTTGTGGGGTCAGCCCATTGGGTAGGTGGGCGAGTCTTACACCATTATGGGAGTGGGCGCGGCCGCCAGGGCCAATCCTTGGAGCCAGGAGCTTGGGGCAGTAGCAAATCAGGGTGGAGCTCTTAGGAGAAGGGCCAAGGGACCCTAGGGAAACTGAAAGCGTCCTTGGAATTGGGCATCAAACCAGGGCGGAACTGAAGGTGTGGCCAATACTCTGAACTCAGGGATTAATGGGTCAATGCTTAAATCATAATCTGGAGCAGGTAGATTCTTGGGAGGTCTGGCGAGCTAGAAGGTTTAGGATTTAGTCTGAGCAGAATTTAATTACTAAGGAGTTCTGGGAGATTAGGAATAACTGTGTTGAGAGAACTACCTGAGGTTTGGTGAGGATACTTTTGGAATTTGGTTAGGAGGAATGTAGCAGGGGCTGGCTTCAGAGAGCACGACCTATCCTATGGCAGTGGAGAGATGTGATGGGTGTAAGAATTCTCATAGTTGTAATTCAGTGAGTGAGATTTTGGGCTAATGGTAAGTTACAGTTAATAAGATTGGTTGGGAATTGCTCTTTGCGAAGGTGTATGATGAATCCATTAGGGTCTTATTATTATTCTTTATATAGTTTGATGTTTTCCCATAGCAAAAAGAGAAAGATAGAAAGCTCTTCAGCCTCTTAAGTACTTCAAGATAAAGGTTACAATTTACATTTGAATAAAGCATTGTGTTTCACAGTACAGATAGGAACCCCCTTGGTGTAGGAGAAGGAAGGGGAGGTAGGGACTAGGATCACTTTTTAAGCACTAAGAAGACTGTGACTAACATCTACCATTTCTCAGGTAATTTAAAATCTTTCCACTTAATCCTCATAGGATTTTCCAGGTGATTCAAATAGCCTCATAGTTGAGAACACAAACTTAGAAGAACATATGAAGGGCAAGAGAGGCACAACCAGTGGGGTTTATCCAGTAGGACTTCCTGAAAGGGCAAAACAATATTGTTTATTATTATTTTATACCTTCACGTGCCTCACATCACATCCAGTTACCTCAAACTTGCATTCTTCAGAACCCAGCCCTGTTTTCAGTTGTTTGTAGAAACAGCATATACCCACTTCTATATTGCCAGGAGCTAACTGGATAGATCATTTCACAATAGCAGAACTTTTCAGACATTTCAGGGTTGGACCTGGATCTCTGCTCTCAAATACACAGCCAACACTTCCAACCCAACACAGCTAGGAATGAATTCAGCACTCGCCTGATCCTCCAATCTGTATCTCCTCTGTGCCACCCATCTTCTGTCCAGTCACTGTTGCTGGGAACCTAAGTGTCCTCCCAGACAACTCCCCTCTCCCTCTCATATAGTCTCCATTCTCTGAATTCTCTGTGGTTGTCTCTACTCAGAACAACCCAACTTTATCATATGCATGCAGCTCAGACTTTCCTCTTTGCTCATTCTGACCACACCTTCTATTTCCCTGGTGTGCCTTCAGGCATCTTCTAGAAATCTACCCTATGGTGCCATGAACACAAGAATCATGCCCATCAATACATTTCAGTGGCTTAGATCTGAGATTTTCTTTCTGCTACTCATATATATTGTGGAAATGACACAATAAACATTTGTTACTTCATGGTTCTTTAGTTCAGGAACTAGGGAATGGTTTTTCTGGGTGTTTCTGACTCAGAGTTCCTCAGGAAGTCATAGTGCCAATGCCAGGTTTGCAGTCAAATGAAGGCTTGAGTAGGGTCAGAGATTTGCTTTCACTGGCAAGTTGGTGCTGGCTGTGGAGGAAAGGCCTCAGTTTCACACTATATAGATCTTGCCATATGTATTTGGAATGTCCTGATGTGGTAACTGGCTTCCTCCAGAGTGTAATCCAAGAGAGAACAAGATAGAATCTGTGTCTTTTATGATGTAGGCTGCATACATCATCACTGCTCAGTACTCTACTAGTTGCACAAGTTGCCCATGGTATAATGTGAGGCAGTCCACACAGGACATGAAAACCAGAAGGATGGGCCACTGGCAGTCATGTTGGAGGGTGGTTACCACATCTTCCTCTCCAAATCTGCCATAATCATTGTTACATTTTAAGTGCCACCAGCAATAAAAGATTCAAGTTTCCAAAACTCCACAGAGTAAATGCATTTTTGTGATTTTTTTATGCCTACAAGATCTTTTCTTCCTTTTTATTTACCTGATAAATTCTTATTCAAAATTGTGTGCCTATACTTTGTGCCTGGTATAATTCAGTACAAGTTGAGCTGAAATCTAAAGAATTATCTGCAGTAGAAGTGGCAGAGGATTGCTTTGGGCTGCCCTTGGACTGAGTCCCTCATCCTCCTAGTGCAGAAGAGCCTGCCTAGCTGTATCTACACACTTATGAGTAGGAACTCAAACAAGCCCCATGGTTAACCTGAATGAAGTCAGGACTACAAAGTTACAAGGCTACTGTCAGGGGCCCAGGAAAGAGTGAATTAAGGCAGAATATTGAACCTATCAAAACAAGAAAAAAAATCAAATATTTTGGAAAGACAAGATGTTTCTATTGAAAGATTCCTTCCAAACTAAACGTCCACATCTCCTTTGACAATATTCCTTTTAGAGTCAAGTTTTCAACATTGCTTCAGTTTTCTTTCTGTTGTTACAACTGAATATCACAGACTTGGTAATTTAGAATGGAAAATATCTTTTCAGATAGTGGTTCTATATGCTTGGAGGTTCAAGTTTGAGGGAATCAGATTTCAGAGACCCAGCGTAGAACAGCGTATCACATGGAGACAGAAGCATCCACAAGAGATAAAGCCAAAGCTGTCTTTTACAGAAGACTCTGAGACAACCCATTGACTCATTAATTCATGAGTGCATCTTCCATGGTGGCAGGGCTCTCCTTATCTAATTGCCTATAAAGGTCTCAACTGGTCCCACCTCTTAATATCTCACAATGGGGGTGAGATCTCACTGTGAGTTCTGGTGGTATCATTCAAACCATCACACTATATACATTAAAATGGCTATGGTACTCCTCCCAAATACTTATAAATATAGTATTTTATAATGTATGTTTGTCAAATCTAGTATGTGAATTTCCTTCTGAAATTAAGAACAGAGGCTCCTAAGGGTTCTGGTGTTCATGGTTACCACACAGCTGTGTAGGAAGTATAGAAGAGTCGAGTGCCTGCCCTGCAAACCACTTACTTGCCCTTATAGAGCTGCTTGCTACAAGATGCTCTTACCTCTTAACTGATAGGATTGTTTCCAAAAGATGTGAAGTATAAAACAAAAGAGGCCTTTATTCTGAGAACATGTAGAGAAAGAACCAACACCTCCCGACCACTGGAGTCCCACTTTCTCTCTGGTGGACACATGGTGTGGGGGGTATATAAGTAGCCTACTCTTATGGTGGTGCCCTAGGGCCATTAGAGATGCACAGGTATCTCATTGGCACACGTTTGGCACCAGGGGCAGATTCCTAAGGGTGGGAGGAGATAGAGTCACAGGTAAATCCTTAGGAGCAGGGGAGATAGGAGCTTCCTGGTTCTGGCTGAGGCTTTCCTGGCTACAGTGTCCCATCTGGGCCAAAACCCTTTCATATCCCATCTTATGATTATTATGAAAAGGGGTGAAGATTTCTCTCTTTAACTACTTCCTGCTGGCAGGGGGCACTATACTGGAGTCTAGGGGAGTCGATGGGATGATGGTTGATGCCCAGGTAGATGCTGGTGCCAGATGTTTTAGCCAGGACAACTTCACTGGTGAATGCACATATGTTAGACTGGAAAAACAAACAGACATGATGTTATGAGGAGACATGGCACTGTCATATTTAAGGACCAAGGTGAGGTAGAGGGAAAGGTACCTTTGATTTAGACATGTCATTATATCAGGATGACGTTGAGTTAGGATCATTGTCATGGTGAGGTAGAATTCTGAAAATTAAGTGTGAGGTTAGGAGGAGCAATGTTGTGAGAGGTGATTACTCCTCCATCTGAAAGCATAAAAGTTAAGAGGGTAGGTATGTAAAACTTGTCTCTGTTCCAGGAGTTGAACTGGAAAAAATAGAGTAGGGAAGGCAGTGGCTGTACCAGTATAGGGAAGGTAAGGGCTTAGGCTTTCAGGGATGTCATGTTTAACCAAACAGCTGAGGGTAGAAAGAACTATGAGAGTCATCACATAGAACATTATGAAGATGATCTTATGCATGATGTGGGAATCTTTAGGAAAGACTGTCAAGAGTCCTGCTGTAAAAATGACCATTAATAGAACAGGAAATTAGGAACTGAAGTGGATAACAAAACATGACTTAGCCTATTAACTGTGATTGCAATGTCTTTGTGAAACAGAGACGGGTGGGTGACAGAAGATGAGATGACCACTGAGAATGATGAGATTAAGGGCTGGGAGGGCACCTCTTAGCCTGAGTGATGTGAAACCAGGAGGGGAGTCCAGCAAATTTGACCACTGTAGGGGTAGCCAAGTAGACCAGATAGGGGCCACTCCACCTTGGTTGTAGTCCTGTGGATTTAGAACATTGGAGATAAATTAGATCTCCTGGGGATATGGGAGGATCTGGTTTGGCTTCTCCAGAGGGTTGTGGAAGGCAGAGATCAGCATGTTGTCGCAACAGGTGTCGGAGGAAGGAGAGGACTGGGACATAGTCAGCAAGGGGAGGGAGATTTTGGGGAGTAGGAAGATTGTGGAGTAAGAATGGCCTGCTGTGCATAAGTTTAAAAGGACTTAAGAAAGTAGGAGCCCGGGGAAGTGCCCTGAGCTTGGCTAAGGCTAAGGGCAAAAGTTGAGGTCAAGGTTGGTGTAGTTCTAAAGTGAGATTTGTAAGATGTGTCTTTATGATGCCATTTGCCTTTTCTACTTTTCCTGAGGATTGTGGATGGTATGGGATGTGTAGGAGCCAGGTGATGTGTAAGCTTGAGGATACCTGTTGAGTGATCTGAGAAATAAAGGCAGGACCATTATCTGACTGAATACTCTGAGGTAGACCAAACCTTGGAATGATTTCTTGTAATATGACTTTGGTAACTACATCAGCAGTTTCCCTGGTTGTGGGAAAGGCTTCTATCCATCCTGAAAAGGTACAAACAAAGGTGAGAAGATATTTGAGAGTTTTGTGGTGGGGCATGTGTGTAAAATCTATCTGCTAGTCCTGACCAGGAGTGTGTCCTCGAAACTGATGGGTAAGAAAGGAAGAGGGTGCCATACGTCCCTGAGGAGAGGTCCTGGCACAGAGATCACAGGTTTGAGTAATCTTAAAAATGATAGCTTTTAGAGAAGGGTATGTGACTTTTGGGGGCTAAAAGTTTGTGTAGGGCCTGTGATCCTATATGAAAGCAGTTGTGTAAGTCAGTGATGATGTCTAAGGCCTGTTGATATGGGAGAACAAGTTTAGATCCCTGAAAAATCCATCCCTGAATGTTTTGTGTGTAACCTGGTTTATGAAGTAGTTGTAACTGCAATGGTGAATAATTAGGCTGAGGTAGACTGTTTGGGACTAACGGGAGAAGATGAGAAGGGCAGGGCCCTGTGCACCTAACTTGGCTTGTGTCTTAGTTACTTTATGCTCCTTGCTGAGACAAAATACCTGATGCCCAAGTTGGGAAAGGAAGGGTTTATTTCTTATAGTTTTTGGAGGTTTCAGTCTACACTCAGATGACTCCAAGACAGGTGGGCATGGCTGGCCTGCAGTTCATGGTGGCTACAAACAACAAGCTAGAACCAGCAAAGAGCAAAACACACCTTCTTCCTGCCATTACATCACATCCTGGCTCCACCCCTTTGTGGGTGGAGCACTGATACCATCAATCCAAGCACTAGATGATGAACAAATAACAAACGTGCAATTCAAACTCATGAGGCCTGGGGAGACACAGACATAAGCCATGACAGCTTGTGAATCTGCAAAGGCATTGCCTTGAGCAATAGGATCTGTAGAGTTTTTGTGTCCTCTACAATGAATAACTGCAGCCTGCTTTGGAAGTTAGGCTGCCTCTAGAAGTTTAAGGATAAGGGGAGCATTAATGATGGGGGTTCCCTGAGTGGTAATAAAACCCCATTCTTGCCAGATAGAGTCATGAGAGTGTAAAATGCTAAATGTATACTTTGGGTCAGTGTATATATTTATAATCTTGTCTTTTGCTAGTGTAAGAGCCCTTGTAAGGGCAATCAGTTCTGCCCTCTGCAACGAGGTGCCAAGTGGCAGTGGATTTGCTTCTATAACTTTTGACTGGTTAACTATTGCATATCCTGCCTTCTTTTGGTTGTCTGTGTTTGTTGAACTACCATCTATGAACCATGTGTCAAAGGCCAAAGAGAGAAGTGTGCTACTGATGTGAGGGAAAGGGGTGGGAGTCATCTGTAAAAACTCAATACAATCATGATAAGGATGGCCCTCTGAGGTGGGAAGTAAGGTGGCTATATTTAGAGGACCACTATTTGCAATAGAGATGCAAGGGTCTTGAGATAGAGCTAAGTGTACCTGTTGAAGGTGAGAAGGGGTCATTAGGGCAGGGAGCACCTTATGTGAGATAAGCTCACGTAGGTGATGATGTGAGTGTACTGTAATAGATTGCCCTAGTGTAAACTTTTTAGCTTCCTGTGTCAGGAGGGCTGCAGCTGCAAAAGCTCAGAGACAAGGAGCCCATCCTTTTACTGTGTGATCTAACTGTTTTGACAAGTAAGCTACTGCTTGAAAAGAAGGTCCCTTTTTGTGTGCTAGTACACCTATAGTGTTGTGGCCCTGACAAATAGTGTATAGGATGAAAGGTTGGGTGGGATCAGGAAGGGTAAGAGCTAGATCTTTTAGGAGATCCTCTTTTAAATTTTGAAAGGAGGCATGTATGGGCCTAGTAGGGTCCAGGGGTTCTGATAAGGGTCCCTTAGCAGCCTTGTAGAGAGGTTGAGCTAGGGCTGCAAAGTTAGGAATCCAGAGATGAAAGAAATTAGCCAAACCTAGGAAAGATGTAACCTGCTGTTTAGTTGTGGGCACCTGGAGATCACAAAGAATTGCCTTACGATCTGAGGTGATGGAGCGAATGGTGGGGGTGAGAGCGAGACCTAGGTAT